CAATAAAAAAGAAAAGAATTATGCATTTCTTTTATTCATTTCAGATTTATAAACAAATTTATTTTCATTTCCAATCAATCATTCATTTTTTTTTAGAATCAAGAAGATATGAATGAGAAAACAATGAACGAAAATTTAACACTTTTGGATGATTGCGAAGAAATAATGGAACTGGATGAATCAGGTTTTATGATAGATTTTAAAAATTGAATTATTAACTTTTGAAGTTTACATTCTTTGTTTGAAATTTTAATATTTTCACAAATAATTTAACATATTTTTGAGTGTTTTCAAATTTTAATTTGAAGAAAAAAAAATTTGTAAAGGAAAAAAATTCTTTATTAGATAAAAAAATTTCCATTTTTATAACTAAGATTTATGTATTAATTAAAAAAAAAAATTTATGTCACATGATTGATTATAGAAAATACAAAAAAAAATTTTTTTTTTTCAGTAGAGCAGCAGACAGTACCTGAAATATTAGCAGTGAAAACTTCTCGAAATACAGAAAATTCTCGAAATACAGAAACTTCTCGAAATGCAGAAAATTCATCTGTAATCAATGACAAATTCTTTGATACAAAAACATCGAATGATGGTGACATTTCAATTTCAATGCATTTTACAGCAATTTTTCCAAATTCAAAAAAGACACATTTGTCATCAGAAAAGATTGAAGTGACAAATCTATTTGTACCACTTGAAATGTCTTCAAAAAGTAGAAAATAATAATTTTGAAAAATATTAACATCAATCAGCTATCAGTAATTTCAGAATTCATTAAACCTTTCACTTCGTCACAGTCACAAGCAAATGAAATGGATAAAATGAATAATTCTACTACAGCTAATATCATATCATTAACAGTAAATGATATAATGAATGCTTCACTTAATTCAAAAATTGATGAAACATTTGAAATACAATTATCAGTGGATGAAAATGATAATAGAAATGAAACAGAAATAACAATGATCGATTCGATATATCTAACTGAGGTTGTCTAATTTTTTTTTTTAATTGTAAAATGATTAATCAAAATTTTGCGAATGAAAATTTCAAATTTAAAATTTTATTCTTCAACTGAAAGTGAAAGAATGTTTAATAGTTGAATTTTAATTTGAAATAAAATTTGAAAAATAATAATAATAAAATATTTAGGAAGAAAGCATAACTTTTTGTCAAAAAACACTTACTTGTGAGGAAAAATTGAAATGGCATGAATTGATGTGTCAACGAAAATATGCATATCCAAATTTAATCATTGGTTCATTTCATTTTTATATATTTAACAGATTAATATTATCATTGCAAACTTTTATATTATCAGTGATTGAGAATTGGATCAAAATTTATTGATCAAGAAATTGATCAAGAAATTTTGATCAATTGCAACTATCAGTTTTCTGAAAGAGTATTGAGGATTCACTTTGAGAGAATAAGGAGAACAACGATTAATCAAAAATTAATATAACATTTAAATGAAAATATTCTCAAAGAATCTTTTTCGATTGAAATAATATTAAAATTTTCATACTGTTATGAATATTTCGTTAAAAAGTTTATGAAACTTTTTAGACTTTGCCAATTCTTAGTTAGATTTAATTGCAAAATATTATTGCAATTGTCACAAATTAGCAAATTTTAAATCAAAATTTTGAATCAATTAGCATTGGAGTAATGAGTTAATTAAATTGAGCAAACTTAAGATATTAGAATTTTGGAATTTTACACTTTCTCAAACAGTATTAAAATCTGATCAAATTTTGATCTGCTATAGAGTCTGAAACGAAACTATTTGATATGTCCGTTCAGTCCGAATTTATTATTAATTCCGAAGTTGCAAATGTAATGGAATCAGTATCCAAAGTATGTTTGAGGCCAATAACAAGTGATATTCTACGACAGGTATTTGATTAAATTTGCATAAAATTTATCACTTTCTGTTTAAAATCTATTTTATTTATAACAAACAAACTTCATTCATTTTATTGCAGCTCTCAAAACTTTTACGTAAAATGGAATTAAATCGTAAATTATGTATGCGTCAAACTGCTTCCAGTCAGAATCCACTTCCTATCAATAATGTAACATTTTAATTTCTAAATAAAACAAGCAAAATTAAAAGAAAAAAAAATGATGATGTCACCTTTTAACCTTTTTTTAAATGATCTGATATTTCAGCTAGAAAAAGTATGAAAAAAAGTTTTAAAAAAAAAGTACAAAAAAGTAAACCTTTTAACCTTTTTTTTTTTCAATGACCTGATATTTCAATTAGTAAAAGTATGAATATAAGTAAAAGTATACAAGTAAAAGTATGAATTTTTAATTAGAGATAGTATTAAGATGTTGTTTCAATGCTCTTCAAACTTTTAAACGTCAAATGATTGGAAGAGTAAAGTAAGTAAACAAGTAAACTGTTAGATAAAGTATATTTATTTATCATTCTCTATGCAAACATATAAAAAACAATCAGATAGGTCAAATTAACAATGGATGTATACAAGTTTTATAACCACAATTAAAATTTCAGAAAATGATCTGTGAAAAAATGGTGACAGATGACATTCTCAATGGGACAAATGATGTTGACAAATGTAAATTTAATAATTTGAAAACACGACAAAATGCTCTTGACTATTGCAGTGCTATAACAGCTCCAATGCGAAAACAATGTACAACATTGAGACAATGTTGTCCAAATTATGCAAGGTAAGTATCAGAAAATATAATTTTGCTTAAGTAACGTTGAAATTGAAATTGTCACAAATATGTTCAAATATAATTTTATTGTCGAGATAAAAGCAAATTGTGATAAATTAGGGCTGAAAAAGGTAATATGTACGTATAGTTTATAGCTAATTAACATTTTTTGTTCAATATTAATAAGTTCAAAAGTCAAAAGTACTCATAACTTATTTATTATTTTGTATAATTCATTCCATCGTAGGCTTTTTTTTAAATTTTGAAAATCTTAAATTTAATATAAATTTCATTTTTGCCATATTTCAGTTGTACAGAACTAATGTTGGAAATGAATACATCAAAAAAGTATGAAGAATTATTGAAGCATACAAAACAGATACAAAGTAATTGTGAAAAAAAGATTATGGCAACATTACAATCACTTCATTCTGCTTTCTTACCTTTTACTTGATAATAAATAAAAAAGTATTGATGATTACTTGTAATTGCAGGTGGGTAAGAAAAGTGATAAGTAATTATGATAATCAAATGATTCTGTATGTATCATCAGAGAATTTTTGATATGAATAGGTAGGTGATGAGAAAGAAGTTCGGTGACAAAAATATATTACCAGGAAAGTTTATCTAATTTTGTATCATATCAAAATAAAAGATCAACAGATTCATGTAGATTGAGTAGATCGGATAACAATCACAAATAGCAATCGAATTTATGTGATACGGTGACAAAAGGTAGAAGTTAATAAGATTTTCAAATAGATTCAAGCAATTACTCCAAACCTTTAAAAAGTATAATATACTATAAAAGAGTAATGTATGAAGTATAAAGTATAGAGTATAATATATAAAGTATAATAGTGTAAAGTATAAAGTATAGAGTACAATTATAAAGTATAGAGTATAATATATAAAGTATAATAGTGTAAAGTATAAAGTATAGAGTATAATATATAAAGTATAATAGTGTAAAGTATAAAGTATAGAGTATAATTATAAAGTATAAAGTATAATATAAAGAGTATAATATGCTGTCCACAAAGATAATTTGATAAGAGTAATTATGGAAACATATTTTTAAAATCTTGCAAAAGCTTCAAATCTGTATGCTATTGAATAGCAAACTTTAAAATTATTTAAAATTTCTTCTAATTAAACTACTTGCATCAGAAAATCAGAAAGATTTTAATTAGTGAAAATTATTTATCGAAATGCTTTGAAACCTAAAAAAAAAACTTGCAATAGTTATTTTGATAAAGCCTTATCAATGGTATCAAGTCTTATCAAATATTTGCAATATGTTTTGATGTATCTTCTAGTGCACCGAAGCATTAAGAAAATCATTTTAGGAAGAAAAAAAAAAAGAAAAGAAAACTTTCTAAAGTGATTTCTGAAAAAAGATATGCATTAATATTGATAAGTTACTGATAAATCAATTGATAAGATTATTAATTAGGAAAAATGATAACAAAGAAATTAATTAACATTTAGATTAACACACCTGCTACAATTACTTACTAACGTGAAAAGGTTAGTATCACTAAGCAATTTCTATCGGACATTTTTTTTTTTTTGCTAGTTTTCATTTTATTTAATTTAGTTTAATTTTTTTTTTTTATTTATTCAAAAGGAAATTTTTCTCATTGCACAAAATGAATTTCCATAATTCGAATGATTTCATTTTCAATGAAATTTTCAACAAATCATCGCCATCTCTCTTAGTTTATTCAATCATTTGCAATTTTTTTTTTTTTTTAAACTGTCAGAATTTGAAGTTTTAGCAATTTTTCATGTATTCTTAGTTTAGCGATAGGTAATTTTAGAACAAATAACATTGTTGTATGAGTAATATGAGAAATTTTTTTAAAACTTAAAAATTTAAAAAAAAAAATTTCTAAATAAAAAAACAAGATAAAAGCATTATAATTATGTATGAGCAATAAATTTAGGAATAGTAAATAAAATGTATAAACAAAAAAGCAAAATGCTTAGGTAATGATGCATTTTTCAAAGAGTATTTCAGAGTAAATAGAAATATTTAAAAGTATTTCACAGGAAGAAGAAATAATCAAAATTTTTCTTAATTTAGAAACTTGTATTTTAGTAAATAAAACAGACCTGAATTGAGGATTGAAATTTTGAGTTTCTATGATGTGAAACAATTAGGAAAATGAATGTAAACTAAACTGAACTGAAACTAATGTTCATTCTTGAATATAAAAAAATAACCTGAAAATAGTATTCGATACATTTTCGCCTAATTTTCCATGTCTTGGCAAGCTTAATTTTTATTAATTTTACCTGGACATCCAGGTAGGTGAAAGGACATTAACCGAGAGAACACTGTCCGTATAAATTGATGGTGAAAATGCATTTGGTGATAAAATTTGACCACCTAATGCTTGTGGTGAAATAATATCTGGGCTAAGAATATATGGACTGAGAATTAATGGACTTAACACATATGGATTGATAATATTTGGTGATAAAACATAAGGTGATAAGATATATGGTGCACCAACAAGTGGTGATAAAATATAGGGAGAGAGTATGTAAGGTGAGATAAGAAAAGGGAGGAAAACACCGGGAGAAAGAATATATGGACTAAGAATAGATGGATTTAAAATTAATGGACTGAAAATGCTAGGTGATAGTACCACTGGTCCTAAAATACTAAGACCAAATGTTGGTGAAAACATAAATGGTGCCAAAATGGTTGCTGGAAGTATTGGTACTGTTTCACGTTTATTTCGATATCGTTCCTAAAAAAGTACACTTTTTTTTTTTAAATTGAATTTTAGATTATTTGTTAATTTCCTACAATAATAATTGTAATATAAAATTAAATAGCAAATAATTAAATTCGTTATTTTAGTTTAAATCAAATACTAATGAAAATAGTTGTCAATGTATCAATTTAATATCTTTTTTTTTTTTTTTTTTAACTCTAACTTTTATTAATCAGTAATTTAATTTCTTTTACAAATAAATTTCTGCTAAATTTTTTGCTTATAATTAATACTGTTATATTGATTTGAAAAATTTTAAAAATAAAATTTTCTTTTTTTTTTTTACATTTTCGTTACTTTCTACTTTCTTCCATTTACCTTATGCTACAGTTATACAACAACACATTCTAGTATTTTCTAGAAAAAAAAAAAAAACAAATTTATAATTTTTGTCAACCTCAGTTTTATTTTCTGCAATTCGTTCAATATTCTTCCATAACATTTCTTCTTGCTCTTTTCTATTAAGTTGTTCATAATTTTTCAAATTAAAATTCACATCATTCAATTCATTAACACCTGCAATAATCTTTCATCTTTTTAAATTTGTCATATATTTTGAAAAAGAGAATTTATTTGATTGATAAAAAAAAAGAAAATGAAAAATGAAAAAAAACCTTGCTGATGAAGTATTTGTTTCAATTGTGATGCTTCTAGAAATGTAAATCCTCTACTTTTCATATCATTTTTTTGTTCAATACTAAATGATTTTTTCAAATCTTTGAATGCTTCATTAATTCTCTTCGTTGTCTGCAATCATTTAAATAATATATCATTTCTATGCAAAAAAAACGAAAAAAAAATTTGATAATTTAAATTTTAGAATTTTTAATTGCACAAATCTATCATTGATATATCCTTTTTTCAGATATTTTTTTTCTTTTATCTCTTTGAAATTTATCTTTTTTAGGATTGCACAAATTTTTTGTTATCATTGATAATTTCTTTTCTAAAATAGCACAAATTTATGCTAATATCTCAAAGTATAGAATTTACCAACCTCAAAAATTATATCATCCAAATCGAAAACATTTGTTTTATTGAGGACATCAAGAGTCATTTCGATGGCAATATGCGCTCCTGAAACATCCATAATCATTTCTAACACTGCTTGCCTGTCTTTTTCCGCCATACCACTTTTTTCCAATAACTGAAAACAATTATTCAAATGTTTATAACACATCGTACAAACAAATAATTAAGCACTCGAATTAAAAAAATGGAATTGAAATTAAAATTAACAGTTTTTTAAAATTTGAACAAATTAAAATAAATAAATAAAGTGACCTTAGGAAGAGAGATAATATTGTCCGGACTATCATCTTTATAAAATGACATAATGGATGGTGACAAAACGCGTTTTTCAGATTGCATCTAAAAATAACCTTCATCAGTGATTGAAAAAAAAAAAATTACATAAGAAAATGAAATTCAAAAAAATTATAATTTAATTATTTTTTTTTTATTTTTTGTTTATTTTTAAAAAACAAAAATGAAACCTTATCAGGCATCACAGGCATTACTCGAGGACTTAAAAAACGAAAATTGAGATTATTTTTGCCATTTTCATTATTAAATCCATTTAGAAGATCAAATGCCATCGACAGAAAATCCTTATATTTTGACTAAAAATATACTCTATCTTATATTTACAAGAAAAATATACTTTGTTTTTAATTTCATATTTGTTTTTACAATAATGAATAAGAAAATAAGCAAAAATTTTGAAAAATACAATCTTCAAAGGATTGATAATATTAATAAATATTACTTTTTAAAAGCATTACAAGTATTTTTGTACTCGATTACTTGATTATCTTTTAGTAATTCAAATAGATATGCAAAATACTTGAACTTTTGCTCTGCTACCGAGTACAAGATCGAAAAGTCGAAGATTGTAGACTTTTGCGCTGCTTTCTTCCCATTGCTGATCCATTTGTTTTTTAATTTGGGTAATATGTTCATAAGTTTTCATCCAATTAGCAGCATTTGCTTCTTTTCCACTTAGCATAACACTGATAAATTTAGCCATCTGAATTAAACAATATTCTTTCAATTTTTATTCACTAATCAAAATTATCATATAACAATTGTAGTGAGTACTGATAACATTATCAATTATCAGGTGCTAACCTGTTGTACGGGAGTTTTCTTAACAGTGGAATCGTGCATTGCTGGCATTTTATCAACTTGCTTCACCTAAACAAAACAACAAAACAATTAGAAAATAAGCCAAAAATATAATTTTTATAAATCTGATAAATAAATAAATAAATAAAAGTTTTTTTTTTTTCACATAAACAAAATTGAAAATTTCATTCTTCATTTCGTTTTTAAGATATAATTCACAATTTTTGTAAGTTTTTTTTCCTTTTTTTTCTTCGCTTGATAAATTGAAAGATATGTGCGATAGAAAGAATTGAATTGAAAAGCTAATATAATCACTTACATCAATAATTAAGTTATCACTTTTGATAGCATGATTTGTGATAAGTCGATAAGAACGACGTCGTCGTTGCCATAATTTTTTTTTTCGAATTTTTGATAGAATAGAATTTGAAGATAATTTTTTGCTCTGTTCCGATGAATTGCTGGATGCAAAAAGATCATGTAAGTCACTTTTACGGAAATTTATAAATCTCACTGGGAAATTTTTATTTTTGATCAGTTCTAATTTTCCTGAATGTTTTTCCAGTTTCATACTATTAAACTTTTTGTAATTTGAAGAATGAGACGATTGTCCAACAAAATTCGTGATCTGTCCTGAAATTTCATTTTCTTCTGCTGAATATTTTCTTGGCACTTGATGTATCTGTCCTGATTTGTTATCGGTAGATAGTAGCCGTTTCAAGTATACTTCTCTGGACAGCCGAGATTTTTGTTGATTAGATGAGTCAGAAATTGGTATGGTTTCAATCAAATGTTCGAAAGTGTTTAAATTGTATGCGATGAAATTCGTTGTATGATTGAAATGCGAGATATTAGAAAATCTCGAGAATTGAATAAAAGTTTTAGGTTGATCTCGTTTCAAGAATTTATTTTCGAATCCAGAATGAGAGGAATGTGAAAATTTTTCCTTTGCGCTCATCCTATTGTATCTTTCGGCATAATTATGATTTTTGGACGACTTCTCTTCCTCATAGTCATTGGTTGTAATAAAAGTTAATGTATTATTAGCTGACTTATCAATTGATTGATTTAATTCAAATTTTTGTCTGTGGGTGTTGAAATGGCGCTCATGTCGTACTTGCATCAAGCATTTAGCACTAGCTATAAGATCACGATCATCTTTAATTTGATCCAAACATAAAGCTAACATTTTCTGCTTATCTGTAATAAAATTTAAATAAAATTATTTCACATCGTTTCTTTCTTTTTTTTATAATTTATCATGAAGCAAGTTTAAGGCTGAAGTACTATTTTTTATTTTACCTTATACTTTCTGATACATTCAAAATATCGATTAAGTGATTTAAAGAATAACTTAAATCATTAATTCACTGTATCATCATCATCACAATTCAATAGCTATTTTATTTAGTCAAATAAATTTAAATTTTCAAACCAACCTTTAGTTAATTGCTGAAAAATTTGTTTGCCAACTTGTCCAAGTAATGCTTTGATCGCATAGATATACCAATTTAAATGCAAATTTTTAGCTATCTCAAATGTTCTCTTATTCATCCTTGCTTTATAGATGTTATTGATATCATCGGCTGTTAATCTGATACTCAGACCTAAGTTTTAAAAGAATTTAAAAATTTCAATTATAAAAGCAGATCAGCTAGTCAACAGAAGAAACGATTAGCTAATTAGATTCTGTACATTTCTAATTCAAAAAATGTACAAATTAAAAAAAAGAAAAAAGATTATTCCAAATGATTGATTAAATTAATAAAAGCTAAACTTGATCAGATGGAACATACCTATTTGAGTTATAATAGTGACCACTAGCCAATGTGTAAATTTCATTCCTAAAATTCAAAAAAAAAAAGAAAAAAAGAAAACTTGAATTTTCTATTATAAAAGATTATTGATGCTTACGCTGTTGAAATTAGTGGAAATTTAGAAAACTTTTTTTTTTTTTTTTTAATTTAAATAAATCACCGTAAGAATATACAACTAACTTTGTCAACTTGACGCATTTCTAGAATCCATTGATAGGTTTCATAAATATCAAGCTTATTTCAACCAAATCAGTTCCAAATCACTTCAAAAATTAGCACAAATAATTTTTGAATTTTCTAAATATTGAATTCAACCATTATCTTGAGACATTGAATAAATAAATAATTTTAATAAGATGTATTTATTTGCTATACAATAATAAAACTAAATTGTATAAAAATTAAAAATGTATGTTAATTTAACCTAACAAACTTTTAATTTAAATATTCATCCAACTCTAAATGATCTTTATTTTTTAGATTTTAATGCGTTTTTTTTTTCTTGATTATTTTTGAAAGAAATTTTATATAATAATTAAGGAAGGAAAACGATTAATTGAATAATAGCACAAAAAGCATTTGTAAATTTTAATAATGAAAAAAAACAATAATATTCTCTAATGCATGAAACTTAATTACTACTGCTTAAATTTTTAAAATTGAAAAAAGCAATAATCAAAATAATTTTATTTTTATTTTTATTGAATGAAAAAAATTCCATAAAATAATTTTTTGCTTATCTAATTCCTGAACGAATAACATTTTTCAATTCCAATAATTTTAACAACTAAACTCTAAATTATCACTAATTTTTTTGATATCATAATTTAATTAAAATTTTAATGAGTAAAAGACAAATTATTGCCGTAATTATTGAATGAAATTTTATATAATAATTAAAGAAGAAAAATGAATAATTGAATAATAGCACAAAAAGCATTTGTAAAATTTTAACACTAATTTTATTTCCTACTATCACTACCTACCACTTTGTTACATTTTATCACTATCAACCATCCTGTTCATACCCGAGAATATCTATCTTATATTGATTGACCTTTTCCTCTTCCTCTTCCTCTTCCTCCTCTTTCCTTCCTATTTCATTTTCTGTTTTATTGAGCAATGAACATTTTGTAGTTCCTAGATGAAAAGTCCACCGTCGCTCTCGAATTCCATTTTCCTCTTTTCAACTTCTTCGTTTCTTTGTCCTACAAACTTCGTCTGTAGCAATTCCCATTTCTTGGTTTTAATAAATAATTTGTACGATTCTACAATGGAAAATGATGAGACATATTATGTGGAGATATTCTATAAATGATTAAATTTATTTAAAATTATTTAATCGTTCAGAAGTTTTCCTTAATTAAATGAATGTCATCTTAAAAAATAAATATGGAATATAATTTTGAGAATTTTATTTCAAAAACTTGAAATTTCTCATACTAATCGTTTGCCAATCTACCTCTATTTCATAGGACATTAAATAAAAATCGTCTAAAGTTTAAACAAAAAAAAAAAAAAAAAGATTTAATATTAGTGTTAAAATGATTGTAAAATTTTCAGAAATAATTTGAGCAAATTTTTTATAGGCTATAAAATTAAGACATGGATGATCCTATTATTTCTACCTTATTTCCTATTAATTTAACTTAAATAGCTAAACATAAAAAAATTTGCAGTTATTAAATAATATATTTAATGTTTTTTCGCCAATTTTTTATGAAATTACCAATATAAATATTTTCAATCTATTTGACTTTTTTAAAAATGACTTACAAAATATTTTATTTACCTTCAAGAATAATCTAGCAGGAATAGCTCAGTTATTTGCATATTTTGAGCAATACAGCAAGTGCATTTAATACAGTTAAAAGTTTAAAAACAATTGTCATCAATGAAGCACTTTTAAAAAGTAAAAGTTTTAATAAATAAATAAATATTAAATGAAATGCATATATGCATCTATTTCGCCAGTAATAATAACTTTTTTTTACAATGCCAGCTGAATGGAACTTGTTAGGAAGTAATTTTCTTCCGCACAATTAACACTGCAACTTTCAATTTTGATCAAATTAGATGTAAATCATACGATCTGGAAATGTAAATTGTGTCCTTAAGGCTAAATTTGATTTCAAAAAATATATACTAATATAAACATAAGACTTCCGAGAAAACTGCTTCTTGTTTCACTATTCAAAAATAAAATATCAATTCTAATAGCACCGACTATTATTGCCCGATTGTTTTGTAAAAGCAAGTAAGCTCTAAGTCTTAAATCACTGTATAAGCATCTATGATAAGTTAAAATTTTATGGAATATAACATTTCACTTTATCGGATAGTCTGAATTCTTTCATCTCAAATTAAGAATACCTAAGAATACTGCAAAGCTTTTGCAGTATGATTTTGTGGAAATTTACGGATAATAATAATACGTACGTGCTTTGCGTCTTGATTTTCTCTAGATAACATAGTGAAAAATTTTTTAAGTTCAGAAAATGTTCTGTATGACTGTTCTACTTATTTCATTAAAGTGACATATATATTTATAGGCATGAAAACTACCCAAACAAGAATAGTTCATATTTCCTGATGATGGATTGCACTGTATGAGAAATTAGCATTAACAAAGTTTTTGTTAGCATTCATAACAAATAAAGGGACTGAAGCTACCTTCAGAGATTAAAAATAAACGAAGTATACCTAAATGCATGTCATCATGCAGAATAGCTAAATATTTTGATCACATTTTGTTTCAATCAATATTTTCTCATCTCAGAACTTCAAACGTATGCAAACTGAAACCATTAACAAAAAAAGAATGAATTTTATGACAACTGTCGTTTACAGATGCAGGAGCACAAATTATATGTTAGTCAAACATCACCCCTGAAAAAATTAGTGGTTTTAATTAATTAATAATTAACCAAATAAATTTGTAGTTGATCCTTAAAATTTCATAATGTCAGCCTAGAAAGCAATTAAAACCATGTCAGCAAAATCGGCATCCATTCATCATTTTCGAATAACAAACAAAAGAAAAGCAGATGCCTACACTTAACAATTCAGAAATAAGAAACAAACAAAATTCTCAAGCAGGTCAGTTTCTTAGCATGCTGCAAATGAAACAAATTTGCATAGCATGGACTGATTGAAAAAATTTTCATATATACTGGATATACTGGAAGTCTAGAATAATTATTGGAAATGGGAATAGACAAATAAAGATCCATTCACATCATTTAGCTATATAAGTCGTCATCATCGTTTCCAGCTCCAGATGGTCCCGTTGGCTGTCCTGGATTTGAAGACGCTCCTGCTTGATTCGGAAATCTAAAAAAAATAAAATCTGCATTTAGAACTTATGCATGAAAATATCAATCAGCGTTTAATCGCTTCCTGAAAGCTGCAAAATAATTATTACAAATTATTAAATAATCATTAATAACTACCAAGTCTTACGTAACAAACTTCATGTTTGAAGAGATTTTCAAAAAAAAAAAAACATGTAGGAGTACTTGAAGTTAGTCCCAAAGCCTCGCTGCTGTTGCAGTGTCTGCGCAAACATTTCGTATTTGCGGATATCATTATCCGAAACTGAACGACGGGCGAATTTCATTGCCTGAAGGGAAAAAAAATCATCTAAAAAATAGATTGCATTTGAAATTAGATAACAAAAGAAGGATATTTACAACCTTAATTTATAAATTGCTATAAATTGAACAAGGAATCAAACATCAAAACTGGCTCATCTACAACATTAAAACACTGGAAACAATAGCACAACAAAGAGTGTCTCTGTTTAATAATAAGTAGTCAATGTCTCCGTTTTACTATTACATGGATATTTCCAAATCAACCTCTTCAAAGTGTGCACGAGTAATTTCTGGTACTGGATCATAAACATCATCATCCATAAGCTCTTCACCCCGAGCACGGCGCTCTTGTTTCTCTTTTTCGTGGCGAATTTCTTTCTCAATGCTTTCACGAATTGCTAGTTTACATGCTCGTTGGCAAATTTCTGTTAGATCAGCTCCTGAGAAGCCAACTGTTGTCTTGGCCAAGTATGTCAAGTCCACATCCTTAATTTAATTAATTATCCGTCAAGAATAAGACTTTTTAAATATTTCATTTTAACCAACTCAATCAAGATAGATAGAAACTAACTGTTGCAATCGGCGTTTTGCGAAGATTCGCTTTGAAGATTTGTAAACGGCTAGCCTCATCAGGAAGAGGTATATAGATTAATTGATCAAGACGACCTGGACGAAGAATAGCCGAATCGATGATGTCCGGCCTAACAAAAAGAATATAAAGAAAAAAATCAAGAATTTAATTTAAAAACACTGGATCTTTTAAAGCAAACAACAAATGATATGCTGCCTAAACAAACCGATTCGTTGCTCCAATAATGAAAACATTTTTCTTGTTCGACATACCGTCCATCTCGGTTAGAATCTGATTGATCACACGATCAGCAGCACCACCTGCATCTCCAATGCTGCCACCTCGAGCTTTGGCAACCGAATCCAACTCATCGAAGAAAAGGACACAAGGCGCCGCAGCTCGAGCCTACAAAAATGTTCGTACATTACAATAGCTATAGAAGTCCCACGCAGATTATAAACTGTTTTTTTAGAAATGCAAAGCACAATCAAAACTAATGAAAAAAAAAAAACCACCTTGTCAAAGACATCTCGCACATTTGCTTCAGATTCACCAAACCACATGGTAAGAAGTTCAGGGCCTTTGATTGAAATAAAGTTAGCTTGACACTCATGTGCGATTGCTTTAGCAAGAAGTGTTTTACCGCAACCAGGAGGGCCGTAAAACAATACTCCACGAGACGGCTGCATGCCAAATTTGAGATATTTGTCTGGATGTTCTACTGGATACTGAAAAAGCAATTGGCTGATTACAAGTAATTTTCCGGAAATTTTTCAAAAATATGTATCTTTATGCATGGAAGTTTCTTATTGATTCCATTCTCACTCAGCATTCTTCAGAATGAGGAAAAGACCAAACGTTCGCTATTAAAAAATGCATCGGTAACATATCACTGACTTTTCCAAACTATCTTGTTACTACTTCTTTTAGCAGTCCCTACTTTTTCTAATGAAATCTTTGTTTAACAATTTGTAAGTCACATTTTAGTAAAAAAATAACCTGAACAAGTTCTTGCAGCTCACGTTTAACATTCTGCAGGCCACCAATGTCGTCCCAAGTAATATTAGGTGTTTCAACAGTGGTTTCACGAAGAGCTGATGGGCTGCTTTTACCCATCGCAAACTAGAAAATAAAATTATATTCCAATAATTCAAGTGTGAAAACACATATTTACTGTCTTCCCCACTTGTCAGATTTGAGTTTTGTCAGTATATTTGGTTTTATTTACTAACAGTATGCAACACTATTGTTGAGTAAAATTTGGGTCCAGTACTTCAGCATTGTGATAATGTTAGAAAGACGAATTGTATATTAGCTAAGAAATTACCGAAACATTAAAATGTTACAAAAATCACAGGTATATCTCACTAAAGGTATATCTCACTAAAGAATGACAGGTATATCTCACTAAAGAGAAAGCTACTGAATAAATTAAATGGAACAAAAAGCAGACTCGGAAATTCTCCATAGTGACCGCCAGTGAATTAAGAACTTCCGCATCGATTGTATCATCTTCCAAATCGATCAGTTCCATTTTCTCACGAATCTGCTGCAGAGCTGCTTCGGAACAAAGAGATGCCAAATCTGCACCTACATAACCATGGCATTCATTTGCAACCTTAAATATTTTGAAAGTTTTATTGATTAGACTTTGAATCAAAAACTGTTTTAATTTAAGCCTTCCAGAAAACACTCCAGATTATTACTACAAATGTATGCACTGTTAAGTAGACCAATTACCTATATAAGTAACTGTTCTGTTCACAATGCAAAAGTTTTTCTCCGAGGCTTGTATCAGCAGTAATGTTAAATCCATATACTATGCCTTCTTACACCTCGGGTATTATAAGGAAAAAAGTCTTCTCTCTCACGAACCATAATTGCAACATGGTTCCAAAGTTCTTGAATCCCAGTTCAACTACTGCTGAAGATTTTCGTGCGCCAGTTCTTCTAGGTCTGACATTAAAAACCAAGAAACTAACTTGCTCCAAATCAACATCATCACCAAGACGCATATTCTTTGTATGTATGCGAAGGATTTCCAGTCTTCCAACAGCATCTGGAATCCCGATATCGATTTCACGATCAAATCGACCAAAACGTCGCAATGCAGGATCAATCGAATTTGGTCGATTTGTCGCCGCCATAACAACAACATGACTACGTTGTTTCAAACCATCCATAAGTGTCAATAATTGCGATACGATACGACGTTCGACTTCGCCATGCGTCTAAATAACATCAATTGAAAAAGTTGTAGATCGAAGTAGGAAATCTTTAATAAGGAAGTTAGTGTCAGTTACTAAAATTCATAAGACACAAAAAATCAATAATAAGACAACATTATATAAACAAATCTGATTCAGTTTTTTCTACAGATCAGCAGAAATTCACTACGCTATACAATACCTTTTCACGTTTCGGTGCGATAGCATCAAGTTCATCGATAAATAAAATTGCAGGTGAGTTTTTTTCACATTCTTCAAATGCTTTACGTAAGTTGGATTCTGATTCACCAGCTAATTTGCTCATGATTTCAGGTCCTGAAAATAGAATTAGTAATTCCCCCTGATAGGCATATTTCAGCTATGAAATAATCAGAACTTCACAAAGGTCTAAAAATGAGTATTCACCATTCAGGAGAAAAAAGAACGCTCCAGTTTCATTCGCGACCGCTCGAGCTATTAGTGTTTTGCCGGTACCTGGTGGTCCGTATAACAAAATGCCTCTTGGTGGCTGAAACAAAATCAAGAGATTATTTCAAACCAACTGAAGGAAGCTACACAAATCAGTCACTATTCATACCAAAATTCAAACAAACTAATCAATATTTACCCTACATTTACACCAGCTTTGACGGACGATATTAAGAAAATAGAATAAGATTCTGAACTTTCTTCTCATTACGTCCTCCAAATTTCCCAGACTTATTCCAAATCAAAAATCTGAGCAGAGCAATAACATCGAATGTTCTCCGCACATTAACCATACCTTGATACCAATAGCTTTAAAAAGCTGAGGATGTCGCAGTGGAAGTTCGACCATTTCCTTGATTTGTGCAAGTTGTTTACGCACGCCACCAATATCATCGTAACCAACATCAGCCATATTTTCTTCTTCTTCTTCACGCTTAATTGGTTCACCTTCACAATGAATGATTGTATCTGGTGCAACGATGCATGATGGTGAGGGATCAGTTTCAACAACCTTAAAAAACATTCATATTCAATAAATGAACAATGTTTTTCTTTCAAACAATTGGTAATAAAAGGATTCATTCAGCTAATCAAGTCTTTAGGTAAACAACTTCAAGCTGAACCAAAAAAGACAAAACAGCCGGTGTAAAATTACCTAAAATACGTCAGTTTCTGTAAACATTTATCTTTCTCGTGTTAAAAAAGAAAAAAGAACAGGAAATCCACCTTGAACTCAACATTACGCATAGCTGCATTGACAGAAAAAAGATCCCCTTTATGAAGTGGTCGATATGATTCCACAAAGTAAGGCTTCAAAAACACTTCGAATAAATTACTGAAAATGTGATCATAATACTTCGACATTTATTTAAATATTATTAGGAAATATTATTAGAAAATCCAGTGAGAGCTCAGTAAAGTGCTGTTTTTTCTGTGCATGCTGGAAATTTGCCCGGTGCAAATTTTCACAGCAGCAACACTGGCACACACCTCTGCCAGTTTCAGGACCCCTGCACGATTCATCACTGCTCTAAAAACAATACACCCAGGCCATTCAGACGTAAAACGAGTAAAACTATTTGCAAAGATCTTACCCCGTAAGACCCACAACCGTATCATCGATAGGAAGAACATGAACACGTTTTCCATAACTGATGCTCGGAGCAGCAGTGATGCTACAAAGGAATTTTTTGAAACGAAATAAAAGACAACACTAAAGGAAAGTTAAAAATTCCACAAAGTTCAAATAAATTGTAAAGTATTACAATTATTTGCATGTAAAAACATGACTGACATCTCCAGTAGTGCAAGAAACACATAACCGCAAGTCTGTTTTAGAAGGGTCAAATGTGGCCGTTTGGAATATTCAAAAAAGCTACAACATTAGAAAAGATGAAACACGAAACAAACGGACCTTACAACATCACCCAATCGTACGCGTAAATTGTTTCGAATGACTCGATTCATGCGGATTTTATCATTTGGACAAGTGTCATCCGACAACACAATACATACTGTCTCTTTGCGTTTTTTTCCTTTCAAAATAACTGTATCGCCACGAAACAAATTTAATTCATCCATCTTTGCCTAGAAAATCAAATGTTTCAATGTAACAAGACGTAAGACACATCATTCCAGCAGATTACATAAGAAATGTAATAGCTGTATTATCTCAAATAGTTGAATATGATGTCATCACGACCAATTCAGTTTGCAGTTTATACCTGCGAAAGCGCAACCACAGAATTGTCATCATTGACGGATTGATCAACAATTAGCCGATTCGGTTTCACCTTATCCTTTAAGATGGCCGTTGCTAATTCTTCATTCTTCTTTGTTTTATCATCAGCCACCCTGAAACTTGCTATTTTTATTAAACAAATACATCAGAGAGGCATAACAAAGTGGCAATGTCTCTCTGGCTATCATAATTCCCAGTTATATGTTCCGACCACTTTCTGTATAGAAATGATAACTTACGTTGGGATAGATGCCATTATTCAACGTAATATTCTTATCGGGAACTGACGCTGCAAAAAACAAAATAAAGCTATCAAAAAAATGGATGGTAAATGAATTTATTCAAAAAGATACGACGAGCAATGTTACATTAATTATTTACACGACGAACAGCTACACAGTCACGGATCAACAGAAATAATCAACCGCTCACTAGATGCTTACAAGAAGCCAGTACATTAATCATAATTTATGTCAGTTTATCAACAAGCTCGTACCATTCTAAAGTGAGTCTTTCACTAATCCGTGTATTTGTTGTAATCAAATGAGAACGACGTACAAATACTCCGCAGTTCATAAATTTTAGATACATACTGTGCTGATTTTTTACCATTGAGTAGTAAGGATAATTTGCCAACTCCTCATCTCACTTCGAAAAATATTTTCCTACCTGATACTCACTTTAAGTTCAAATAATCAGGGAATATAGAGCGTGCTATCAGTGAACATAATGCATCAGCGTAAAACTTAACATGAATCATTGATTAACCTTATGCAGAATTATGCAAAACAAATATCGACAGTAAGTTTTAGATTTATATATACGCATTTTCACCCATACTAATTCTGTGCAACTTCAGTCGCCAAGAAGATACGTACGGTAACAAGGGATCAAGCTCAAGGGAACAGTCAAATGAAGTCATAGAAAATAGGGTGAACTTTGGAGAGATACCACTAATTGAATATTTTATTTCTCTGACCTCGGTATGCACAGAGAAAATTAATTATAAATGCTGTAGCTCATTTGAACTTAATTTCGCATAAACAAACATGACATGCTTTCTTCATGCACTCCCTTCTCTCCTCTGCATGTAATGCAAGTACTTTTCATTCCACGTGTCAAAATTTGCTTGTAAATAAGTGTAACTGAAGTTTATTGCACTCACTAAAAAAAAAAAAGAAATAAATACATTTAAAACTTTCAAGGATTGCACTGAGATTAAACTTGAAAAAAAAATCGAAACAAAATTCCACAACGATAATTTCCTGATTCTCAACGATGGGAAAATAGAAACATGGTAGAGCTGACACGGTCACTTACCCTCAAAACACACGTCATTATAAAAGGATCGAAAAGCGATGACTCTCTTCTAGAATTTTCTTCCGAAATTTAACGGCGGATGGCATTAAATACTTATGCAGACTGAAGTGCAAATTTAGAATCCCATGGTGGATTTGCTTTTAGATGAATACAAAGTAGAGGAGAGTGTTTTTGGATGTAATTATTTCATTTCAACTTTAATTTTAATGACATAGAAAAAAAGAAAGGAATAAATATTAGACGAATTAATGATCGACCATTATTGTCGTGGAATGTATTGACTGCCAGATATTTTATTTTGCCTCAAATTTGAGTAATTAAACTCAACAAATCAATATTATAACAATGCATAACGAAAGATATAATATAATTATAAAACATTAAAATGATATTAAAACCACCCCAAAATGTAGGATAAATCACTGTAATGGAGGACAGTTGTTTATATACAGAACTGAACTGACAACCAGATATCCGGCAGAGGATATTATTTAACTGATGTGAAACAAGGATTGCTAATGAAGGGTTTTTGTTGTGTGAGAAAAGGAATTAACATAATGGCTTAAATGATCTAGACATAGATTAGTTACAAATGCGAAAGTATTTGAACAATGACATTTATCAAAGGTATTAGAATTTAAATGTATCGTTTTTTTACGACAATTATCTTTGGATTATTTCAGTGTCATCTCAATGTCTCAATAGAATTAGTTTATCTCACTTATTAATTTCTTTTATTAATTTTAATTTTATGATTTTTAATTCTTTCACTAACTCTATACTTTTATCTAATATTAAGAATACTATGGAAGTTCTTTACAAATTGTAAAAAGTGATCGCGAGACCGATTCGAGATTCGGTGTGTATACAAAGTTTATTAGCAAGTAGAATAATGATTAACTGTAGTCCAGTTGATATGTATGAAAGAGTATAACAATAACTTAATGAAAAGAGCTTAGGCCAAGTGGTCTCAGTTGGTTATTATTATAGCCTTGGGCCATTTACTTTACTCATTCATATCTGCTTCCATTGAATAAATCATAATTCTCTTCACATATATATGATATTAGTTCATTAATATTTAAGTCTTCAACAATATCCAAAGCAAACGTTTGTAACTTTATCGTTGTTTGAAAATAGTTTTTGAAAGTTTGTAATTTTAATTGATTGAGAAAAGAAATGAATTTCGATCGAACTGCAAAAGACTTAAAATGCATTAATCAAGAAATTCACTCGGCAATTTTCAATTTTCAATTTTTTTTTTTCTACTTTCAATTCACTATATTTAGTTTCTCAATTGCTGTGTAGTGTTATTAAAAGAGAAAAATTGTTTCTTTCCACAAATAAATGTAAAATAATTTCAAAACATTTTATTCCATTGCCAATTGGTTTAGAAATGGTTTAGAAATGATATTTAAATATTAAACATAGATCATTCCTCTTACTATCGAAAGGGATAATTTTATGATGATCTAAGCATCGAGAATTATTCTTGACTTATTCTACGCCTTGAAGATAATCATTAATAAAAAATGCAACTTGTATTTATTTTTACCAGTCATTCAGACATTATTATCACTCTCGTTTCTTATCATATCAAAATATTGGATAAGAAAATTATAAATTGTTTTAAGCGTTTTTCTTTTTTTTCTTCTCATTCCTATCAAATAAATTTTGTTAATACACTGATAATTTTAGATAAAACATAGAACATATTGAAAATACATTGAATGTTATTTTTATCTGATTGGGCAAATAATGCAATTACATTTTTTTTATTTTATAATTCATTCAGGCTATAAACGAATATTCGCAGATAATTTTAAACATTAATTATGGGAGTAATAAATTTTGCATTAAGAGAAGAGGAAAATAGACAGATACGATCCATTTCATTTTGCTTTCACTGGCTTCTTCGTCTAAAAATCAATTTAGATTTGAATGAATAAAAAAGAAACAAATTTCATTTCATCCAAATTCCTAACACTCTTACAGTTCTAATAATTCTAATAATAACTTAATGGCAATATTTCTTTTCTTTTTTTTTTTTATAATCGTAACTTTATGAATAGCAAATTGCTACTACATTAATTAGAAAGCTTATCAGTAACAAAAATTTTCTAACCGGTGGCGGTGGTGCGGCAGCTTTACCGCCGCCTGCTGCAGCGGATACTTTCCGACCAGCTTTGTCACCATCACTTGCTTTTTCCGCATCGTCACCCTCTCCAGCTAAATTTCCATCCGCAGCCTGAATTGCTCTCTCTTCTTCCTCAACCTCATCGATACCAGGTACATGAAGTGGAATTGGTTGAACTGGTGGTTTTGCAGCATCACCATCTGCCTTCACTTGTTCTACATATTTTGGAGGTTCTAAATTTTTACGGATCTGTTCGAGCTCTTCATTTTCACGTCGTCCCCATTCCGGTGGTGGACGAGCTGTTCCGTGAGCGATTTTTGGTGGCTTCTTAACTATTGGCTACAAAATATCACGTTAACTAGAGATATAAGTAAATCCTGAAATGCTATATATATATTCTTAAATTTGCTTGAAATATTCATTCTATCAAAGAGATAAAATAATAAAGGATAGAAATAATATTTTGTATCTGATCTAACTATTATAAACAACAACCGGATAATTGACAGCACCGTAAGCAATATTCCGGATCTATTTTAATATAATCCTCTAACTGGTGCTTTTATTTTTTTCTCAAAACTATCCATCCCTGTCAATTTGACAACTTTCTATATAAACATTATTCTGTAACATATCGGAAAGAATAAGCACGAATTCTTACAAATGAGTTGTTACAAGGAAATTAATTAATAAAATTAATTAATATTACGTGTTCATAAAGATCCCGCCGATCACCATATGATCGTCTGTCAATTTGTCGATCGAATTTTGATACGACATTGATCTTTGGCTAAAATAGTATTTTAATTTATTTAGACTAACAATAGTTATAGCTATAATGGAATTATTAATTTATTTTTCTATTCGATCAGCTAATCCACTAATTTGTTAAATGTCTTATTTTTCCGTTTGTCAATTTGTTTATTTAATAATTGATTTATTACTTACTTAATTTTATTACAGTTTTTGGGAAAGCAACAAACCGGATGTATGGAAGCAGCTGCTTCTTCAGGATCTAAACCTTTCTGTAAAGCTTTATTACGAGCAACTTGACGTTCACGCTCGTGCAGTTCTTTCAACTAAAAAATTTATTTAGTTCAATTAGAATAATATTTCGTTATTTTTGCTAAATTATTAATATTTTTTTTTTTTTTAATTCAAAAACTTAAATTATAATTTATAGATCAAAAAAAAATTACGTCATATTCTTGACGTTCGTGTCTTTTCTCCAAATCATACTTTTCTCCTTCTAGTTTTACAATACGTGAATGTAACTGTTTAATTTTATCTTTGATATCATTTGGCAGTAAATCGGCAACATTAGCTCCACGACGTTGAATTGCTTCTAGGAAAGCTTGTTTTGCTGCTCTTTTTCCTTCATCACTTATCTCTTGTTTTGCCTGATAAAATTTTAAATTATTTTAAATTATCATTCAGATTATCACAAATTAGTTTAAAATTTTAATTTACAAAATTAATAGATTTTCTTTGAGATAAAATAATCTAATAGATTTTCAAAGAAAAAAAAAAAAAAGTAGCATTGTCTTATGAAGTAGCTTTTAAAAAAAGTAGCTATAAGAAAGTACCTTTAAGCTACTTAAAAAAATGGCAATTCACTTACACAACATCGATTTTGAATTCAATTCACTCTATCCAATCAAATTTTCATGCTAGATTCAAAAACTAAAAAACTTACAGTAAGTGTCTTTAACTGATCACCCTTTTCAGATTTCTGGATCACGAAATTTTTTCCTCCAGCTGCTGTTCCGGCAGCAAATGAGCCAGCCATCAAATTTTGTCGTTTCTTTCTTTCTTCCTCTCGTCGCTGCTTCTCAGCCTCAATACGAGCTTTACTTTCTTCCTAAAAATATGAGAAGGAATTTAAAATAGGTATTTAATTCACTTACAATACAACAATAATAATTTTATTTGAGAAATGATAACCTATAGAAAAGAAATTTACTAATTTTATAATTGATTAGAAATTAATTCAAAACATTTCATATTTTGAGGATTTCAATCATAACATATTTCAAAATTCTATCTTCTATGAAATCATAATAGCAAAGAATAATAGATCTTCAAATATTCCATAATTCTCGAAAATGATACCTCTTCCTGGCGTCGTTTTTCCTCATTCTGACGTTGTCTTTCCGCGAATTCACGTTCTTCTTGTTCACGTTGTTGCCTTCTTTGTTCTTGTTTTTCCTTTAAAGTTCGCAACTCTTCTTCGATCTGTTCTTTCTCGATTCGTCGTCTTTCTTCATAATCTTGAATTTTAGCTGCTTCTTCTTCCTGATGCCTTTTTTTAGCAGCCTGAAACGAAGGTAAATCTATGTTTTACACTTATTCATATTTGCAAATTTGAAATAATCATCAAACTTTCGATATCTAAATTTTGAATGAAAAATTTAAGAAATATACTTTTTCATTTTTGAGCAAAAATAATCATCATTTTATGAAAGGCAAATAAAATAGTAGTGAAAGATTTACTAGCATAGCCTTTTCAGCTTCAGTTTGTTCAGCCGGAGTTTCATCTTTTTCCTGAGGTGGTGCACGTCTTAATCTGAAATATATTTTTTTGTA